AGTATCTTGATAAAAAAGAGTGATAGAACAAATAAAACAAAATTAAAAATTGATACAATCAGAAGAGGATTTGAGAATTCAATAGAAATAAATAATACAAATAATGGAGACAAATAATACAATGTAAATAAATAATACAATTCACAGAGATAACCTGATTATCATAGGTCCCCCAGAAAAATATGAAGGAAAAGATTCTGAACATTCTACTTCAATAAATTATATAAAAATCATGCAAATATTGAAATCAATGTATAGATTGGTAGAATTTATAGAATATCAAATGCAATGAATCCCAAACTTTACTCACTAACTTATTTTGTCATTGAATTTCAACATTTCAGTGACAGAGAGATGATCTCGAGACAGGCCAGGAAAAAAAAATGTATCACATAACAAACAATAGAATCTGAATCATTCCGTATTTCTCAACCAGAATGAGAAGTGTTAGAAAGAACTGGAATAGGATGTACAGAAAATCAGACCTTTCCAAAATTACCATTCCAACAAAAGTGAACATATCTTTCCAGAAAAGTTAGGAGATTTTGTTAAAAGGGCAATTCTAGAAGAAGTCAAACATGATTATGGACATTGACATGTAAATTAATTATGAATCAGAACCTCAATAAGGTAAAGGCTTTTTTTTTAACTGAATGTTGGCTCTGCATGTTACTATGCAGCAGTCTTCTGGTTGACCTCCTGCTTCAAATCTTTCTCCACTCACCTATCAAAATGAGTTTCTTCAACTGCAGGTCTAACTATGTCACCCCACTACTCAGTAAACTCCAATAGCTCCCTATTGCCTCCAGGATCAAATATAAAATCTTCATTTTGTCCTTTAAAGCCCTTCACAAGCTCTACACTTCTTACTCTCCAGTCTTCTTACATTTTACTCCACTCTATGTATTCTATTATCCAATGATACTGGCTTCCTTGCTATGCTTCACACACAACACTTAATTTCCAAACTGTGCTTTTCACTAGTTGTCCTCTAAGCCTGAAATGTTCTCTTTCCTTACCTTTGTCTCCTGGTTTCCCTAGTTTCCTTCAAATCTCAGCTTAGATTCTACCTTCTGTAAGAGGCCTTTCTTTTCCCTTCTTAATGCTACTAGTACCTTCTTTCTAAGATTACTTCATTTCTACTATGCCTTTCTATAGTGTTATAAGCCACTTTCATTACCCTTTGGAGGCTCCCCAATGCTGTGAGGATCCTGACAGTTTGCAGCATAGAACATTCATACATGAATAACTAAATAGCTGAAAAAAATCAAGAGAAGTCAAAAGGAGAAACTATTTGTGGTAATGAAGACAAATGACATTCATTCCATGGGCACCAAGCTTCCACTAGTGTCTTATTCTGTTGCCTCATTGTAGCATAGACTCAACCTTGGATTCTCGGAGCCTATGCCACTGGAACACAAATTCTGGAAGCTCCTAATAGACTAGAAAGACTTATAGCATAGGCCCAGAGATTAATTTCATGCTTTTCAATCAAAACATCAGCCTAGTCCATTTTTTACTCATCTTCAGGTTAGTTGCAGCATAACGAATTCTTTGTTCATGGCAATTCTCAAAGATATCGGCTAAGTAGCAAAAGGATTGTGATTGGCATTAGTCACAGTAGTGCCCACATAGATTAAATTTCAGATCCTTAAAGTACATCTTAGGTAGCTAGATGGCACAATGGATAAAACATTAGGCCTGAAGTCAGGAAGATCTGAGTTCAAATCTGTCCTCAGGTGTTTACTAGCTTTGTGACCCTAGGCAAGTCATTTAACTGCTGTTTGCCACAGTTTCCTTATCTATAAAATGAGAATAATAACTACCTACCTCCCAGGATTATTGTGAGACTCAAATGAGATAATAATTGTAAAATACTTAGCAGTTGCCTGACCATAGTAAGCATTATGTAAATGTAGCTATCGTTATCATCATCATCATCATCATCATCATCTGCAGAGGATCAGAATACATAGTAATAGAGATAGAGACAAGACCTTGAATTTCATTGGTGTAGGAAATTCCTTCTGCCAATGTAAACTGCCATCTTCTCAGAAACTCCTAGCCTTAGAAAACTACCTATAGTACTTAGAGGTGAAATAATTTGCCCAAAGTTCCACAGTAAGGATGTGTCAGAGGTGGGACCTGAGCCCCAAGTCTTCTTTATCACTTCTCACCCAGACTCTTGCAATAGCCTCTTAATTAGTCTCCCTGAATCCAGTCTCTCCCCTCTCCAATCCATCCTCCACTTGGTTGCTAAATTAATATTCTTAAAGTGCAAGTTTTACAATGTCATTCTTCTAGTCAAGAAGCTTCAGAAGCCTTGCACTGTCACTAGGATAAAATATAAACTCTGTTTAGCATCAAGAGCTAGAGTAAGAATAACACCTGTTTTATGTATATTGGGCTAGTTTCCCCTTAAAGGAGCAGGGACACATTCCTTGGGCTTTGGTGGGTTCAGGGAAACAAGGCCTGAATTATCAGTTTGGCTTCCTTGCCCCCTGAGACATAAAGAACCTAGTCTATCAGTCTGCTTAAGGACCACACTAGGGGAGAGTAAAAGTAAAGAAAAATTAACTATCTCTTAGCTTCTATTATTGGTTTTTTTAAACTATGTCTCTCCATACTAAGGGAAATGAAAACAAATTTTATTTGCTTATTTAGCACTTAGAGTTAAAAAGTGAATGAATTCTGTGGGGGGTTTTTGTGTTTGTTTTATTTCTAAGGACAATGCCTTAAAAGTAGAAGAGTGGTTTATAGATCTAGTAATAGCACAGGTGAATAGGGCAATAGTAATGGGGGCAGGGATGATAGGCTACAGATGGGAAGCATGATCTCTGACCCTGCTGAGATGAAGGCTGCAAAGAAAGAGTTTGAAATCAGGAATGAAGATGAAAATTGGGAACCACTGCCAATATGAAGACAGCCTTGGACTTATCTCATTACTGTCCTCAGTATCCTCACTCTTGTGGAATGACTTCCTTCACAGGAGTGTCAGAGAGTGGGGTCTCCAATGGGTCCATAGAGTCCATGAGGAGTTTTGGAAGAAAGATCACCAAGAGAAGGAGCACTTTTGCTCAAGTCAAGGTGTGTGGAAGACTCCTCTTTGGGTCTCAGTTATGGTAACTAATCAGAAGGAGTACATTGGGATCATGGATATTATGAGTTGTTGGGTGTCAGTACCCATGCAGGTATTTTCAGTAGCCTCTATGCCAGTTATTGTGGTCAGGGTTAAATAGAAGCCCTTAGAGTTGCCTGAACCATTCTGTATAAGTACTATTAAATAATATCGAATTTACAATGTGGGAGGTAGAAAAGGGTAAATATCTTCCCCCTTCCCACCTCCCACATTCATCTCCACTAATGGAGTAACTCCCACTTTCCATCTCTAGTAAGGAAGATAAAAGAAACTGGAGTAGTTTTGCTATACATATTCTCCTTGTAATAGCCTGTGTGGCTACTGAAGAAAGTAGATGGGAACTGTCAACTTAAAGGAGCCAAATGAAGTTGTTATGCTAACTATTGTGGTCATTCCTAACCTTTTCAACTTGGTAGACCAGGAAGCCCAAGTTTTCGGTAACAGTATAAAGTTATTGATTTTGTCAATGTCTTTTTCCCTAGTTCTGTGGTTGAGACTAGTCAGAAGCCATTCACCTTTCCCTAAAAGGGAATTTAGTGTGCCTTCACCATCTTTCCTCACAATTATTACTTTATAGTGCTACCATTTGACAAGCAGACACCTGAAAGAGTTTACATATCCTGGAGGGCGTTGGTATCCACATACTATATCTTTATGATGTAATGTTCATTGCACTAGATGAGGCCATGGTGGCAAAAGACCTAGATCAAATGGTGGCTCATATGAGTGACAAGGGATTGGAGCTCAAGTCTAAAATTTTAAGGTCTTGTCCACTCAGTTAAGTTTTGAGGAACATACCACATGGGGAGAACTCAGGTGATCTCAGATATATTCTATAAGAAGTTACTAACATATTCTTCCCCACAGTCTAAAGAGGAAGTTCAGAAGCTTAATAGACTATTTGGCTTCTGGAGAATCCGTATTCTTTACATGGTTTTCAAGATGGGCCCCCCATACCAAATCACTCACAAGTCTACTTTTTTAAAATGGGGTCTTGTAAAAGACTAGAAGAGCTAAACTGGACTGATCAACTTGGATTTATATCACAAATTCAAGGATAGCTCAACACTAAAAAAACAATTACCATAAGAACACATATCTCTAATAAAAATAATAAATGCCATTTTGTTATATTAATATCACAGCAAAAGCCTCCAAAATCATGATAATTATTTACATATTGCTATTTATTTAAGTTAAATATACTAAAAATCATAAGAATAGACTATTTGGAAGGCTTCTTGTAGAAGATGGGAATTTAAATGAGATTTGAAGGAAGCCAGGGAAGCTAGGAGGTAGAGTCAAGGAAAGAGTATTCTAGGCATGGAAAATAGGCAGTGAAATGCTGGAGTCTGGAGATAGACTGTCTTGTGAGAGGAACAGCAAAGAGACCATTGTCAGTGGATCATATACTACGTAGCATGGAGTAAAATGTAAGTAGACTGAAAAGGTAGGAGAAGGTCAAGTTGTGACGGACTTTGAACGTAAAACAGAGGATTCTATCATTGATCTTGGAGAAGACAGGATCGGATAACACAGTTAGATCTGCTCTTCAGGAAGATTAATTTAAAGCTGAGTGGAAGATTAGACTCTACTGCTCAAGTGCAGCCCCTTGACTGAATCCAAACTTCACAGAACAAATCCCCTTAATAAAAGGACTTGTTCTGTAAAATTTGGACTCAGTCAAAAGGCCGTCCCCAAGGACCTAGAAGACCACATGTGGCCTCGAGGCCACATGTTCCCTACCCCCTGGATGAGAGTGAAGAGAGACATGAGTTAAGGAAACTAACCAGCAGGCTATTATAATAGTCATTGCATGAGGTAATAAAGGCTTACATCAGGATGGTAGCAATGTCAAAGGAGAGAAGAGGGGTATATACAAGAAAGTGCTTACAATCTTCAGCTATCATCTTCTTTAAGATTTTATGGGTAAGTTTATATTCTAAACCAGTGTTGGCCTTGGTTGCCCTGTATCCTTTTTATGACAAAGAGATCAAATATTTTATGGATAGGACATATTCTATATTATTTTTGTGGTGATTTTTTCATATCAATTAAATTTCCTCAATAAATACCGATAGTCTACATTGGTATCAATTAATTTATGTATTTCTCTCTCTCTCTTTTTTGCATCAAGAGCTGGCTTAAGTAGACTAGGTGGGAGCTGACTCAGTTATATGCCATATCTTCTCACTTTAATTCTTTCTCCTAATTTGATGTTGATGTAGCTTCTTTGTGCCTAGGGGTCAATGGCTTTATGGTACAGAGACAGCTGATTTAGAAATGACTTCTATATATAGTTTCCTTTATGTTAAACTGGAATCAATCAAAAATTTTTATGATGTTATTCAGTGCCCACCTTTTTCAATACCTCCCAACTTTTCTTAAATGAAATTCATTTAACAAGCTTATAATCTGCACATTCGACAAGCCTCTGACTTTTCTTATTCTTGAATATTTTCTAACATATTTTTTGTTTTCTCTCTTGCCCTATGCCATTCTTATGTTGAAGCCATCAAGCACTAAAAAGTTTTGTTTGCTTGTTTTAGGGTGTGTTTTTTTGTTTTTGTTTTGTTTTCACTCATACCTGTGATTACATTGTCTGGTCACTATTTTTGGCCAATCCGTCCCAAGCCCAACCATACTTCTTCAACCTGACCATCTTTGGCCCTATCACTGCTGCTACATCTTCCAAACAAGAACATCTGCCATGGGACTGTGCTATCCTTTTAATCAGAGCCCACTATATGAAGCCAGCACCAGACTTGGCCATCCTTACTCACCTACGCCATCTTTTGCTCTGCAGCCAGGACTCAGACTACCAATGTTCACGGAAAAGCCAAATGAACCAAATGCCCTATTGTTCCATTCACCATCCCTGTGACTTTCTGGATGAAATCACCTTCCATAGGTTTCACTCTCTTATGTGAATTGCCTCTTTTTGCAAAAATATATACTCTAGTAATTGCAATATGAGGTGATAAAACATTTCATGAAATTTTATTTCTTGTTGCCTTTGGATTCATGTTAAAAATAACTGTACCAATTCCTTTATTTTCCACTCCAAGGAGCATCCTAAACCATCATTTGATTTCACTTTCATCTTCTAGTTTCATTTTTATCAAGAATGGCAGAATTGACAAGATTCAGTTTCTCTAACAGTATGTCTATTGTGACCACCTCCCGGGCATCTCACATTTAGCATACTGACAGTTAAGTTAGACCCTCTGGTAACCGTTATGGCATTCTTATCTACAGCCCCTTTTTCTGTTACCCTACTAGCATAATTGTGGTAGCTATGCTACAGTTATGGTCACAGCTAGGTGATGTAGGGAAGAAAGCATTGGACTTGGATCGAGAGAAAGCCTGAGTTCAAATCTTGCCTCAGACATTTACTAAATGTATATGACCCTAAGCAAGTTAGCCTCAGTTTCCTCCTCTGTGAAAAGGAGATAAGAACAGCACCTATCTCTGTGAATTGGAGATAAGAGCAGCACTTAGCACACAAAGATAGCCTATGTAAAGAATTTTGCAAACCTTAAGGTGCTATGTAAATGTGAGCTTTCAGTATTATCATTATTAAGAAAGGAACCAAACAAAACTAAGGATTATTTTTTATTTTTCTTTGTTTCATGGGTTGCCATTGCTACAGAATTCATTGATAAGTGGCCAGTCAACTGGTGATGAGCATCTCAGTACTCAGCCAAGCAAGTCTTCGGAAAGGAGACATTCTGTTGCCATAACTGGACTCAAAGCCTTTCCAAAAATGGTAGAACCTGCCCAAGTTTTCACACTGTTGGAATAGACTTCAGGAATACATCATCACTTCTATGCCACCAGGATGCATCTAAGTAAGACTATGTGGAAGAATTAATGTATACATTTTTGAAAACTGTAAAAATGAGCATGACATGCATACTGAGAAAAACCACTGGACAGGGAGTCAGGAAACCTGCATCCTAGTCTCAGTTTTGCCACTTGCTTCCTTGCATAGTCTGAGAAAATTATTTCCCTCTTTGGGAATCAGTTTTGTCTCCTGAAATATGAGATAATCTCTAAGGTTCCTTTCAGCTCTAAATTCTAACTTTGGAAAAGTGACCAGAGCTGGGACACTCTTCCACAAGGTTTGGACTCATTCATTCCTGGAACCTAAAGTCAAAAGGCCTCTGACTCCAAGATTCCTACAGCATCAAGGCAGACTTAGTCTAAGAGCATACCTTGTCATCTGTCCACTACACTCACAGGTCCTGGTAATTGGCTATTGGAAGCACTGTCAGCTGATGGGGAGATGAAAAGAGAGATAAAACAAGAGAGAGATAAAAAGCAATTTCCCAGTTCCTTTCCTGAGCTTCTGCATCAAGCCTGCAACAGGACAATTGAAAATGTCCCTTCACTGGCAGTTTAAAAAAAAAAAAAACCCTCAGCCCAAGTGGGGGATGGGAGAAAGGAATGCTGCTTAGAATTCCCCCAGGCAGGTTGGAAGGCTTGAATAATGTGAGAAGCCCTTGGGACATACATATGTCCTTTCTCTCTTTTTTTTGGGGGGGGGGTGAAAGGGATGGAGGGAAGAAGGCTCTTCAAAAGCCAGTTTCATTTTTAACTTCTGATTGTCAGCACCTTACAGAGAGCTTGCCTTAAGATAAGTGGATTTCATTGGAGGGTGAGTGGACAAGATCTAGAAGGTTCATTTATTCATCTCCTTTGCCCAAGAGTTTCAACAGGAAACCATAGATCAGCTACTGAAGGAGACTTTTCCCCCCTTTCAACAAGGTCCCTTCCATCCCTCTGTGCTTTGGTTCCTCCTGTTCCCTTCTCTCTTTCTCTAGCCCCTTCTCAATCCCCAATTCTGTGCAAAGAATCCCCCTCCCCCTGCTGCCTCCAGGCAAAGCTGGTCGAGTAGAATCATTGAATTTTTCATTTGTTTTCCATTATTTTGTTCCTCTACCCAAGAAAGTGGAGTTCAGTTCCTTCTGTATGTGACTAGAGATATGACACACTTTGATCTCTAAGTTCCGTTTTGTCATTTCCTATAAAAGTAAAACACATACGAAAAGTCAGGTGACAGGTTTGCAGAATCAGGTTTGGGGCTGGTGCCAGCTTTATCTAGGGCTCTGCTGACAGTGCTGCATATGCCTATCTGAACCTGAAATCAATGGAGAAACTTTAGTTCCTGTGCCCAACAGGGATATAAAATGCTTAATAATTCCCTCCTATGAACATTCAAAATACTTAGTACCTCTCATACAGTTAACACCCAAAATTGTATATTATGTTTATTTATGTATACTGTTTATTTCCCTCTCATTCAACTGCAAATTCTTTTACTGAAGGAATGGTGTCATTCATCTTTGCACCTCCCTCAGAACTGAGCATATAGAAAGTGTTTAATAAATGCTTATTGAACTAAAATGGAATGGAATCTTTTAGATAATATTCCATAGATTTGCCCTTGAAACAACAAATTTATTAAAGGTCTTCTCTATCTAGGCCCTGAAAACTGACTCTTTACCAAAGATAATACATCCCTTGCAACTCTCTCCTTTGGAGTCTCCTCCTATTTCCACTTTAATTGATTCATAGAGCCAGGAAGATAAAGGGGCACCAACTTCAGAAGAGTAAAGTTGGATATATAGATTTGGGAATCACATAATAGTATGCATTATAAACTGTCTGTTGGTAGCTTATTCCTGCATTAGATGGTAAGCTTCTTGAAGGCAAGGAAAATGATTCACATATATTTGTTTACATACCAGTCCTCAACATACAGCATACACTTAACTAAAAAAATTTCTTTTATTTAAATTTAATTTAAAGGTACTGTGTTATACAGGATCTCTTTTAAATTTTATTTTATTTTTCCATAAACAATCAGTTTGGGGGAAAAAAAGGAAAACAAACCCCTTGCAACAACAATTCATAGACAAGGAAAATAGATTCCTACATTTTCCATATCCAAAAACGTATCACCTACCATTTTTTTTGGCCAGGAGACAGGTAGTAAAACTCATCATCAGTCCTGGAATCATGATTAATCATTCCGTTTATCAGAGTTCTTATATTTTTCAAATAATATGTTTGTCTTTCCAATTTTGTTGTTCTGATTCTGTTCCTTTTTCAAGGACTTTAGTTGAGAAGAAGAAGATAGATGTAAGACAGTAGCTCATGCATGATGGGACTTACTGGGTTTTCTTACTTTTTTTAATGTAAGTTGTGTGTGTTTCTTTAAGATATGTAAGTCTCCACGTGTTGTATAGATGTATAAACATGCAGCTTGTGGAGAGACAATGATAGTTATTTTTGAAATCTGGCCCACCTCTCTCCAAGAAAGTCTGTGATTCCTACTTTAAGAGGAGTGGGAGAAGCATGAGCCTGGATGTTCTTTTTCAAGTGTCTGAGAGGGGTTCCTGAACTAACATAGCTATCTGCCCCTCTTAAATATTGCTTTTCTAGGGGTACAATAAGTTAACAACAAAAGCCACTTTCTTGGTTGCTAACCTTGGTAATCTTACTGGTGGTAAGGGTAACCTCTTGCTTACACCCCCTGGCTTGGTCCCTTTTTACCAAATGTTGGTGACACAAAAGACCACCACAAATAGCAGAAAGTAAATAAAATAATTTATCCAAACTACACAGTAAACAGAAATTGGAGAAGTTAGATAGATTAGAATGTACCAGAAAAATACAGAAGAATAAATGAGCTCTTCTGAAGGGAGCTAGATAAATTTTCTCAGAGAGAAAGAGAAACAGCAATTCAAGGGAAAATTCTACATCTGAAGTCTCTAGGAGGCAAGTTGGAAATCAGCAACATGTTGAGGAGTCAGCTCCCCCTACACATCTACAGCTTCCAAAGATAGGGAAAACTTGGGTGTATTGTAGTCAGCAGGGAAGGAAACATGAATAGGAAGAGTTTGATTTAGTTAACTCCAGTGATGATGAGGATGAGGATGATGATGACAATGATGATGACAATACAGCAATGACTAGAAATTAATAAAAGAATTTGAAATTTTCTAGTAAGAATAACTGATGACAAAGTAAGAAAGATACCTATAGGTGAGTATTATCTGACTGCTCTTTCTCAGTCTTCCTTGTTGGTTTATCTTCAACATCAGTCCAGTTGTGTATATTTCTCTAAGATTCTATCTTACACCCTCTTCTCTACTTTCTCTTGGTGACTTCATCAGCTCCCATGGGTTTAAACCATCATTTCTATGCAGATGACTCCCAGATCTTATATACAGCACCAGTCTCCTCCTAAGTTTCAATCTCACATGACCAATTGCTTATTTGACATTTCAAAGTGGACATCTAAGAAACCTATTAAACTCAACTTGTCCAAACTAAACTCATAATTTCCCCCATAAATCCTCCCCTATTACCATTGAAGGCACTACAATCCTTCTAGCCTTTCAGGATCTAAACTTCAACTTTATCCTAGATTCCCTACTAACCTTCACCCCACACATCTAACCAGTTGCCAAATCTTGCTGTTTCCACCATTACATCACTTGCAGCCGACCCTTTGGCTCCACTCTCATAATTACCATGTTAATTCAGGCCCTCATCACTTCTCACTTCAGTTATTATATTAGCCTCCTAACTGGCCTCCCTGACTCATCTCTCTCCACTCCACTCCAGTCCCACACACTGCTGCAAAGACGATTTTCCTTAAGACACAGATCTCTCATGTGACTCCCCTACTCAATCAACTGCAGTGGTTTCATATTGACTCTAAGATAAAATATAAACTTCTGTTCAGCATTTGAAGCCTAATGCAACCTGGACTCAACCTATCTGTCCAACCTTACTAAGCATCATTACCCATTCCATACTCTGTGATCCAGTCAACCTAGTTTTCTCTCAGAGAAGGTTACATGTTCCTCACATGTAACACTCTATCTCCAATCTCTGTACCTTCACACTGGCCCTTGCCCATTCCTGGAATGTGCTTTCTCCTTACCTCTGACCTGAGTGTTCTCTTCCTTTAAAACACAGCTTAAGGGGCAGCTAGGTGGCACAGTGGATAGAGCACCGACCCTGGAGTCAGGAGGACCTGAGTTCAAATCCAGCCTCAGACATATAACACTTACTAGCTGTGTGACTCTGGGCAAGTCACTTAACCCCAACTGCCTCACCAAAACAAAAAAGGCACCATCTTCTGCATGAAGCCTTTTCAGATTCTCCCAAATGCTCATTGCTCTCCCTTCCAGTCTATCTTGAATTTACATTGTGGATATTTTTATTTATTCACTTATATTTATGCTGTATATATTTGCACATGGACTTGCTGTTCAACTCTTCCATTAGAATGTAAGCTCCTTGCAGGTGGAGATGGTTTCACTTACTGTGTTTGTATCCCCACTGCCTAGCATAGTGCCTGGTGCCTAGCAGGTACTTAAAAACTATTTGTGTAACCTGAGTCCCAAAGTCCATTGGTTTGGGACTTTCTTCCCATTGGTAGAAATCAATTGCCCATGCATAACTACCTAAAGGGCAGAGTTGGCAAAGATGGCAGGGATGAGAGCTCTGGTCTCTTCACTCTCTTCAGGCTCTGAAATCCAAGCACTTCTGGTTTCTACCTTCAAGAGAGAGGATGGACAATATCAACCCCATGTCAAGTTGCTTAACAGAGAATAAGACTCTAGGAAGAAGCTGACATGAGAAGAGCTGGAAGTCTCCAATTCCCTATGCCCAGCTTGCTGCACTAGAGACTTCAGGGAATTTTCTCCTTTGAGTGAAATTTAGTTTTCTCTCTTGGTTGAACTGAATTGCCTTGCTCCTAATGGGAGAGCTCTTTCACTCTGTATTGCCCAGTATATGTTCTCCTCTTTATACTTTCTCTGCTTTCTGCTTTGCTACCAACTTGAATAAATGTGTTTCTTTGCTATTTGTAATGTATGTTCATTGTAGGACTAGTATTTGGTGGGAAGGGAGTCAAGTCTTGGATATTAAGCTCAGGGTCAGGGCAGCTAGGTGGCCCAGTGGATAGAGCACTGGCCCTGAAGTCAGGAGGACCTGAGTTCAAATCTGGCCTCAGACCAAACACTTCACACTTACTAGCTGTGTGACTCTGGTTAAGTCACTTAATCCCAATTGCCTAAAAAAAAAAAAAAGCTCAGGGTCCTCTTCTCCCATTAATGAATAGCAATCAGAAGTTTAGCTTGAACATGGAAATTACATCACCTAGACTTCTGTTGTATATAAGGGAGCAGATAGATGTAATTCTAGCCCAGTACCTCCTCTCTCTGAGGAAAGCAGAGAGACCAAGCCTCTGCCTTCCATCTCCTGCTTCCCTTTCTGGCAGGATTCAATATGTATCCCATGGAGAAGGGTGGAGGATGGGGTAGGGGTGAGGGAGAGGTAGGGGAAAAGAAGAAGCTAGAGATGTCTATTATGTTTCCCTTCAAGCCACACAACGACACCCCCATGCTATTTGTTACACTTCTTAATTAATTAATTGATTAAAAATATATCATCTTCAGCAGACATTGGACAAGAAGCCTTACTACAAAGTTATCAATATGAAAAAGATGCAGTCCTTTTCAGGAAGGCATCTTTGTCTATTACAAAAGAAACTTCCATGAGTCCTGGCCATGTAATAGAAACGTAATAGAAAGGTGGCACAAAAATAAAGCAGAGAAGTGTAAGTGATTACTAAAGAGATTCAGGAGGTCTCTGTATGACATTCTACATCTATTGAAAATTCAGTGTCCTGTGGCAGCTAAGTGGTGCAGTGGATAGAGCATGGCCCTGGATTCAGGAGGATCTGAGTTCAAATATGGCCCCAAACACATAACACTTACTAGCTGTGTGACCCTGGGCAAGTCACTTACTCCCATTGCCTAGCCAAAAAAAAAAAAAGAAAGAAAGAAAATGCACTGTCCCAATGTAACAATAGGTGATAATCTACACATGCTATATGGATAATTCGGTAGTGTGGGAAGTGCTTATAGCATCAACGGGAAGTTCCTCACTACCTACAGAAGAGCAAAAAGTCTCCAATCATGTCTTAAGGCTGGAGAAGCATCTCAAGAGGGCCATGGGATCAGGGATGTGGTAACCATTTGGTGCATGGACCACATCAGTCTGACTCGTGTGTTTGCAGGGACTTCCCATGATGACTTTTATTAATGTACCTTTCTAGTGAACAAAAGAGACATTCTCTCCCCCGTCCCCCAATGCCCAGCTTCTTAAATACATTCAATCTGGCAGATAAACAACATGTAAGCAAGGAAAGCATTCCGAGGTGACACTACATGGCCCTGAAGGATTCCAAGACAACCTTTTGGATAACCTGTGGGAGCTCCTCATATTCACAATGGCAGCCATTTTCTGACCTAACTCTAGGTAGAGTCTTTTTTCAGTTAAAAAGCCTGGACCATTTTGACTACGACCAGTAATTACCTGGGGAAAGCATGAGTACCTCAGCAGTGTTGTTCCCTCTTCTTAGTCCTGGGTTCAAATTGACTGAAAAATCCGATGCAAGAACTATTTCTTGCTGGCCAGACTTGCCATCATCTTAAGCCATGTCCATATTGTCTTTGGAGTAATAATTAAAATAACATATTCACCAGCTGGGTTTTTTTCCTAGATTTAATCTGCTCAGGCTCTGATTTGCATATTAAAAGCACTAATTAGCCCCGCACAGTGCCTGAGCACGGATAGTGCAATAACTGGTCATGTAGTCCCTAAAGACCCATCCCCAATGCTTTGGGCAAGAACTCCTATGTTCAGCCTCAGTGTCTGTCCCTGGGTGATGGTCATTGTTGTGTGGAGAGAGCTGTCTGCTTTGTTTCCTGTCATTCAGGGACTATAATGCCCAATTGTTTCAGCCTTGTAGTTTTTCTTCTCTTTGAATTGTCATGTTTGATCTGTTACCTTGTCTGCCAATTTTTAAACTAGTTTTTTTTAACCCTTCCTCACCACATTAAGTACTAAAGCCGAAGACAGAATTGGCTGCCCTCAGCCAAGCTCACAACCCAGACTCTCAATTATGTGAAAGCTTAGCTTTTTCTCTCAGCTTTGAGTTAGCCTCTCTCCTGCCAAACTCCTTCTCCCCAAATAAATAAATAAATAAAGGGTGGAAACAAACAAACAAAAAACCCCCAACAAATTCCAGTACATCCATCTGTTTGGATCATATCGTTCCTCTTCTAAAGACTTGATGTTTTCTTTAATATTCCAATGGATATGTTCATATTAAGTTAGATTGTATCTCTAACAATGCAGATCACAACCTATCCATGCTTTTTCATTCTATGTTACTCTTACTTGTGTCCTTCCATCAATCTTCTCTAGAGGATCTATACATAATGCTCAAGACTGTCCCCCAGATCTTTTGTGTATGAAAAATAAACCAAATAGATTAAGTAATAGTTAATTGATGTTATTACTATTTTCTTAAAAATAAAAGTGGGAAAATTTTTAAAAAGAATGCCATGAAAAAAGTGCCAGTCTTAAAGTATAATTCCTGTTCTGTTTCAAGCCAGGATGAGTTGTCCAGAGTCAGCATAAGTTTTTCCCAAAAGTCCCCCTTCAGATATAATTTTCCTTTGTACCTTTGGTTGAGAAGCTGTTCAAAATGAGCTTAAAAACAGATCTGAGGCTCTTTCTGAAGAAAAAAGAGCCTAATGTCTGAGGAGAAAGAAGCTACTTGCCCTCTCAAAAATGTTTTAATAGAGCCACAGAAGCTATCAGGTGTGAGTATTCACTAAGGGGCATAGGAAGAAAAAAAGAGTACTAAAAGTTACTGATTCACAACTTAAGGCTATTGAGGCTGCCAATCTAATTATAACAAAGTCTGTTGTCTTCCTTTTTTTTATCAAACAAATAACAGAATCTCCCAAGACTATCAAAATAGATGACTACTATTCACTGTTGCTTGGTCATGTGTGAATAAAAGTATTGCCAATGATTACGAAGTAAAAACACTGAAGTCCGTTAAAGAACACAGTACGTTTTCCTCATTGTTAACTATTGAAGACAAGCGTTACAGAAGAAAAAATGAATTTAGGAAATGAACTACTGGCTAAGAAGATGGTGTCTGAGAATGAAATGTGGGTTTTTAGAGCACGGCTTACAGCACAAGGTTGACAAATTCCTGACCAGAGATGTGGCACACTTAAAACAGGTTGGTAAGAATGTATTTTCCCAATGTCTTGCAAATCTAATCAAAAAGGCTTCAAACTAAAAAGGATGAGACAGAGAGAGAGAGAGGAGAGAGAGGAGAGAGAGGAGAGAGAGAGAGAGAGAGAGAGAGAGAGAGAGAGAGAGAGAGAGCGCTAGCATTAAGAAAGACCAAGAATAGCTCCTTGCAAAAGATGGGATTTTAGTGGAGATCCAAAGAAAGTCATGGAAGCCAGGAGGCAGGAATGAAGAAGATGAACATTCCAGGCCTGGGGAACAGTATATTAAAATGCACAGAGTTGAGAAATGTAGTCTGTACAAGGAAATGCAAAGAGGACCGGGTCCATGAACTGTAGAAGGAGGGCAATAAAGTAAGAAGACTGGAAATGCAGGAAAAGGCCGTGCAATAAAGGCCTTTAAAAGTCAAATTGAAGATAATATAATTGATCCTGAAGTTTATTGAAGGGGAGGAGGTAACATGGTCACACTTGAACTTTAGGAAGATCATTTTAAATATAGTCTTTTGAGGGCAATGACAGGATCCTCTCAACTTAGTTTCCTCATTATGCTATTTCCCCAATAAGCGGAAGTTTGCAGCCTTTTAGACACAATTTTTTAAAAATGTGGAGTTATGATGAATTGAGTATCCCTAGACAACATTACCTGAGGTCAAACAGAACTTAGGGATTTTTATTCCAACATATGATTGGTCAGTCTGTGACCTTCAGGCTTGACAGAATAGTTTTGATATTGTTATAAACTATATCTTCCTTCTTTTTTTCACAGAAAATTCCTCTGACCATGTATGGAGGCAGGCAAATATTTTATGATAAATCTTATTGCTCTAGGACAGTTTTGGGAAGCTCTCGGATCTAACTGGGGACACTGTCAGATTCCATCCTGTATTTCCCAATATGGTAACTATAGAAATGAAAAAAAAAAGTAGCCATTGAAATTATATCTATGTATGAAGGTGATCTTAGAACCCCACATTGGTTCCTAACTAATAATCTACTATTCATACAGCACTATATTAAAGAAAAAGTATGTGGTGGGAGTTAAAGAAATATTTTTTGAATGAATGGATGGATGGATTGAGTGGATGCTTGCTTACAAAGAGTATTTGATTTAGTTAGAGACAGTCAGTCAAAAAACATTTGTTGGGGCATCTAGGTGGCGCAGTGGATAGAGCACTGGCTCTGGATTCAGGAGGACCTGAGTTCAAATCTGGCCTCAGACACATAACACTTACTAGCTGTGTGACCCTGGGCAAGTCACTTAACCCCATTGCCTAGCCAAAAAAAAATTGTAAAGAATTGTTGTACTTTTGATTTGGGGCAGCTAGGTGGTGCAGTGGATAGAGCACCGGCCCTGAAGTCAGGAGGACCTGAGTTCAAATCCAGCCTCGGACCAAACACTTGACACTAGCTGTGTGACCCTGGGCAAGTCACTTAACCCCAATTGCCTAAAAACTAAAAAAAACTAAAAAAAAAACATTTGTTAACCTCCGGCTATGTGTCAGGCACTGCACTGAACACTGAGAATATAAAAAGACGAAAAAGAAAATCCCTCCCTTCAAAGAGCTCACAATCTAATGGGGAAACAACATACAAACAAGCTAGATACAGGAAAAACAAGAAATAATTAAAAATAGAGAAGGTACTAGAATTAAGAAGGATTGGGAAGAACTTCCTGGAGAAGATGAGATTTTAATTGGAACTTGAAAGAAACCAGGGAAGTCAGAAGATAGAGATTAGAAGGGAGAGCATTCCAGGCATGGGCAACAGCCAGAGAAAATGCCCAGAGCTGAGAGATGGAATGCTTCACTCCAGGAATGCTAAGGAGGCCAGCATCACTGGATCAAGGAGTATATAGTGTGGAAGTAAGGTGTAAGAAGAGTGGAAAGAAGGTTGTTGTTCAGTCTTTCAGTCACGTCTGACTCTTATGGGGTTTTCTTAGCAAAGATACTGGATTGATTTGCCATTTACTTCTCCAGTGGATTAAAGCAAACAGAGGTTAAGTGACTTGCCCAGGGTCATACAGCTAGTGAGTGTCTAAGGTCAGAGTCAACTCAAATCCTCCTGACTCCAGGACCAGCTCTCTAGCCACTGAGCTATCGAGCTACCTCAGGAAAGAAGGTAGGAGCAAGTTATAAAGGACTCTGAAAACACAACAAAAGATTTTTGAATTTATTCCTGCTGATAATTGGAATCCACTGGAGTTTGTTTAGTGGTGAGGTGATATGGTTGTAACTGTGCTTTAGGAAAATCACTTTGGCCACTGAGTGGAGCATGGATTGGAGAGAGGAAAGATTTATGTCAGGCAAACCAACCAACAGGCTATTGCAATAGTCCAGGCATGATGAGATGAGGACCTGGACCAGGGTGGTGGCAATATCAGAGGAGAGGAGGAAACAGATTCAAGAGATTTTGCAAGGGTGAAATCGACAGGCCTTGGCAACATATTGGATATGGGGGATGAGTGATAGTAAGGAGTCAAAGATGACACCCATGTTGCCAGCTAGAAGAACTGGGAGGATGGTGTTGTCCTCAACAGTAATAGGGAAGTTAAGAGACAGGGAGGGTGTAGGGGAGAAAAGAATGAGTTCTGTTTTGGGAATGTTGAGTTTAAGATGTCTACTGGACATACAATTCGAGATGTCTAAAAGGCAATTGAAAATGTGAGATTGGAGGTTAGCAAGAGGTCAGAGCAGCATAGGTAGATTTCAGAATCATCAGCATAGACATATTTATGAAATTCATTTGAGCTGATGATATAAAAGAAAAAAGAGGAGGACTCAGAATGAACCCTGTAAGATAGAGTTATCCTGTGTTTAGAAGGCATGACCTGAATGAGGATCCAGCAAAGAAGACCGAGAAGGAACAGTACGGTAAGAGAAGAACCAGGAGAAAGTGATGTTCTGAAAACTTAGAGAGAAAAGGGTGATCAACAATGTCAAAGGCTGCATAGAGGTCAATGAGGATGAGGACTGAGAAAGGGCCATTGGATTTGTCAATTAAGAGATCATTGGTAACTTTGGAAAGGGAAGTTCTCGTGGAATGATGAGGTCAGAAGCCAGATTGTAAGGGTTTAAGAAGAGAGTGAAAGGAAAAACAGTGGCAGAACTTGTAGAGGGCCTGTTCAAGGAGTTTTACCATAAAGGATAGAAGATATATAGTATTATAGTTAGAGGGGATGGAAGGATCAAGTAAGAGTCTTTTGAGCTTAGAGGAGACTTGGGTGTATTTGTAGGCAATAGGGAAGGATCCAATAAACAGGAAGAAATTGGAGATAAGTGATAGAGTGGGGATGACAGGGCAAATACTTGGGGGACATGAGATGGAATGGGATCACTTCTGCAGGTGGAAGGGTAGGCTTTGGTAAGGAGTAAGGCCCCTACTTCAAGTGAGACAGTCATGAAGGAGGATATATGGCAGAAGGTGGCAGAAGGTATATGAGTGATACGAGATAAGGAAGAAGAGAGAAGAGGCAGCAAATGCTGAGCTCAATATTTTTCTGTAAAATATAAGCCAGGGTTCTCAACTGAGAGGGTGGAGACAGGGGGAGGTATAGAAGCTTTGAAGAGGGATGAAAAGGTTCAGAAAAACTATGATGGAGAGTAGGATGGTGATTGAATAAGGGAAAAAAGACATATATGCATGTGCCTTACTAGGTTGTTATTTTCTAAGGTTCTTTCCAATGCTAACATTCAGTGGTTCTATAGTTTCCTTAAGCTCTAACATTTCCATCTTTACTATTTCATGAATCTAATTCTAAAGACCCGTCTATGTTCTATGATTTTAACATTCTTTCCAGCTTTGGTATACAATAGTTCTCAGGCCCCACCCTGTTTGGCATTCTGTGTTCTATGATTCTAAGGTCATTTTATCATGGACATGCTATGAGTCTATAATTCTACACACCCAGTACTATGTTATGGACAACAAGTTCTTTAAGTATTCAGAAGAAAAGAACAAGAGGTGATCTTAAAGATCCTTCCCAGCTCTAAACATATGGTCATTTTCTGCATAATTGGGGAAGACTTCATGAAATAGATGTAAGAGACTATTTATGGGGAGAGAGAAGATTGAGGAAGGGCCCAACTTCACTAACCTTTCCCTTCAAACTAGAGGTCTTAAGGAGTTTGAAAACTGAATAGCCTCAATTGGCTTCCATGCTTAAAAAATAAAAAAAGGAGGAAACCCAAGACAGTGTTTTGATAACAAATTCTACCTTAAGTCCATCTTTGGGAATAGTTTAGTCAAAGGAAGTTCCTAAGAATAAACTTCTGAGAATTCAACAAGGTGTTGTGTGTATTAGAAATACCAAAAACCTCTTCACCAAACAGTTACCAATTTTTAGGTTGCCTGTGGCTCTGAAGCACCCCCTGTAAAATGAGATTTCTTTTTACCCTTGTTAAGACTTTTTTTGTACATTTGGCAATAAATTTTAAAGAAGCTGTTGTATCTAGGCATAATATTATAAGACAGATGTCATTAAAATGTCATTGAGTTATTAATTTTTTGCAGGCATTAATACAGTGGTTTGGAAGGAGGGATTTGTAGAAAAAAATTGCCAGTCCTAAACAAACAGCAACATAGCTAGCTATCTCTCATTATACCTGGCCCCAAAGCTCTTGATAAATAAAGGTGATTGGTGCTATAAGGCTGACAAGTAAAAATATTTACATAAGACTCCTGGGCAAAGATGGCAATATGAAAGGTTCCAATCAAGCCCAGCTCCCCTTAGAAACACCTCAGAAGGGATGAAAAGGATCACCAGATTAAGCAAAGATTCAATAAATACAAAGAGAAACATGAGTAATCTCCTCCATCCAATCCAGGACTGCATTAGAAGACTGACAGAAGTCTGAATGTATTCTATTTGAGAGAACATCAGAAAGACCTGAAGCCAGGGAAATCTCTGATAAACAGGATTAAAAACTAGTGTGATCCCAAGTCCCACATTGTCAGAACCACACTAGGAGACAAAGCCAACACCCAGTTGGTGACTGTGTAAGTAGATGGAGGGACAGAGCCATATGGATAGTGTATAGCTCAAAGCCCTCTAGGAGACCTGAAGTTGGTGCCCAGTAGAAGGGAATTAAAATAGCATGAGTCTGCATGGTATAATGGAGAAGGCATGAACCTCGGAGTAAGGAAAACCTGGTTTCAAATACTAAGTCACTATTGGTTATATGACCGAGCAAGTCATGCAACACCTTTATGCCTCAATTCCCTCATCTGTAAAATAAGGGGGTGGGGTTTGATGATTGCTAAGTTCCTTTAATCTATTATCTTATGATCTCTAGTTTGGGAATATCCCAAGGGACAAAGCTTGCTCCCAGTGGGTTACTGTCCAAGGCAACAGATGCCAGAGATTGAGTCAAAGAAGAAAGACTGATCCCATCTCCAGTCCTAGCTTCTTGTCTCAGGACAGGGTTGCAAAAGAAGACAAAGCCCCAGCTATCCCATCAAGACTTATGTTAGGGCAATATCATTGGCATCAAAATTGGAGTGGGGACAGGATCTGGGCCCAACTACCTCATCCAAGAGTAGAGGAGAGCAAGACTGGCCCTGACACAAAGTTCCAATCCAGGAACTAAGACTGAAGACATGAATAAATGGAAAAACTCATAATTCAATGATGGAATTATGTCATTAGATCAGAAATCTAAGAGATAAACCCAGAAGATGAGAATAAGTCCATAATAAAAACAAGTAAAGCCAAAGAAAAAGAGGATTGGAAAGGACACCAAGATTGGGTTAAAGAAAAGAAACAAGAAATAAATAAAATTAGAGCTCTTAAGGGAAAAAAGAATAATGAATTTGCAAGAGAAAATAAAAATCTTACCCAAGCAGTAGACTTCCCTAAAATATAATGGAACAAATGGCATCCAATAATTCAATTAGACAACAAAACATCAAAGTAGAATAGAGGACATTCAAGTAAGCATTCTGCATGAAAAGACTGACTTGGTAGAATCTTTGGGATGTAGGCACAACACTCTTTAAAAGAAAATGTATATCTGCAAACATTTTCATCAACAAA